CCTCACAATTTACCCCGAGACGCCCTGGCCAGAGAGGCCCCCGAACTCAGGAAGGGCGCTCTCGCTCGAGACTTTCCTGTAATTCAGGCAAGTTGGTGGAAGCATGGACACGGCGACAAGGGCTCCCGTTCGATATTTGTCCATAGGTATTCCGAGAGCCCTTGGCCAGAGAGGCGCCCGAACTCAGGTGGCCAGAGAGGCGCCCGAACTCAGGAACAGCGCTCTCGCACGAGACTTCTTCGCACTTCAGTCAGTGGCCTACAAGGGAGAGATTCCCCCCGAAAGGGGGCGCAATCGAAGACGAAACGGGCGGGTATCGAGGGTTGGGGTATACGGAGTGCAAGGCACGCGTGCAAGTAAGAGCGAACAGTCTGAAAATGATTGCTGTTGAATGATAATTACTAAACAATTACTATTGTTGGACCCCTTACAGGCGCCCTGGCGCTCTCGCTGAAACGCTGGCTGCATTTTCTTTGTCCATGACGTTCACGCTCGAGCGGTTTGGGGGGCCACCAAAACCGGCCCCCAAAAAACAACAACGCTCCCGCTCGTGACTTCCTGCTGTTTTACTCAGGGCCGGTGCTCTTGCTGCTCGCCGCCGAAAGCAACCGTCTCAACAAAACCAGCGCTCCCGCTAGAGACTTCTTCTCGTTTTACCTTGGACAGGCGCGCTGCTCTTTCTCTCATCGGCGCCGCCCCCCAGCAACAACAACAACAACAACAACAACAACAACAACAACAACAACAACAACAACAACAACAACAACGCTCCCGCTCGAGGCTTCCTCATTTTTTAACTCAAGACGGTGCTCTTGCTCGCCGCCGACAGCCACCGTCCCGACAAAACCAGCGCTCCCGTCCGAGACATCCTCCCGTTTTACGCTGGGTGCTCTCGTTTGAATGGGCGCCGTTCCCCGCAAGAACAGCGCGCCCGCTCAAGGCTTCCCCCCTTTTTCCTCAGGACGGTGGTGGTCCTCGCCGCTGACAGCCCCCGCCCCGACAAAACCTCGGCTCCCGCTCGAGACTTTCCCCCCTTCCTACTCAAGGCGGCGTTCCTCCTCGCAGCCGACAACCGCCGTCCCAACAAAACCAATGTTTCCGCTCGAGACTTCGTTTTGTTTTACGCTGGACTGGCACTCTACTCTCTTCAGCATTGGCGCCGCTCCCAGCAACAACAGCGATCCTGCTCGAGACTTCCTCCCTTTCTACTCAGGGCCAGGTCCTTGCCTCGCCGCCGACGGCCCCAATCCCCACCAAGGCAATCCTGTCGCTCGATACTTCCTTGTGCTTTACCCCTGGCTGGGGCTCCACTGGCGGTCTCGCATCGGCGCAGCAAGGCGCGGGCATGCGTTTTCGAGGCGGGATATGTTGAAATTCCTCGGAGGAGGTTTTTGCAAAACCTCATTGGGCGGGATATCTGGGAATGGGAATAACGGACCCTGCTATAGAACAATAATTCCCCATGATGGGATGGTGATCATGATGGTCGCATGCTTCGTGTGCAAACATCACGCATGAGTGTGAAATGATTGTTGTTGTGGTTGAATGTAAAAGCACTCAGCAATTATTCTTGATGGACCCCCCAGGCTCTTTGGCGCTCTCGCCTCGGCGCCGGCTACATTTTCATTGAACATGAGGCTCACGCTCCAGCGGTTTGGGGGGGCGCCAAAACTGCCCCCCCAACAACAACAACGCTCCCGCTCGTGACTTCCTCATTTTTTACTCAGGGCCGGTGCTCTTGCTCGGCGCCGAAAGCCGCCGTCTCAAGAAAACCAGCATTCCCCCCGGAGACTTCCCCCCGTTTTACCTTGCACAGGCGCGCTACTCTTTCTCTCTCTCATCGGCGCCGCCCCCCAGCAGCAACAACGCGCCCGCTCGAGATTTCCTCCCTTTTTTACTCACGGCGGTGCTTCTCCTCGCCGCAGAAAACGCCGTCCCGACAAAACCAGCTCCCAGCAAAAACAATGCTCCGCTCGAGAATTCGTTCCTTTTTCCTCAGGACGGTGGTGTTCCTCGCCGCCGACAGCCCCCGTCCCGACAAAACCACAGCTCCCGCTCGATGCTTCCTGCTTTCTTACTCAAGGCGGTGTTCCTCCTCACCGCCGACAACCGCCGTCCCAACAGAACCAGCGTTCCCGCTCGAGACTTCGTTTTGTTTTACGCTGGACTGGCGCCCTACTCTCTTCAGCATTGGCGCCGCTCCCAGCAACAAGAACGGCCCTGCTCGAGACTTCCCCCCTTTCCATGCAGGGCCAGGTCCTTGCCTCGCCGCCGACAGCCCCCATCCCCACCAAGGCAATCCTGTCGCTCGATACTCTCGCGTCGGCGCAGCAAGGCGCGGGCATGCGTTGCCGAGGCGGGAGACGTTGACATTCCTCGGAGGAGGTGTTTGCACGAGCTCATTGGGCGTGGGCGGGAGATCTGAGAATGGGAATAACGGACCCCGCTTTTGAACAATAATCCCCGATGATGGGGATTGTTATCATGATGGTCGCATGCTTCGTGTGGAAACATCGCGCATGAGGGTAACAAGAGTGTTGTTGGCGGTGGTGTTGTTGTTGGTGTTGGTGTTGTTGGTGTTGTTGATGCTGTTGCTGTTGCTGTTACACTTGTTCCCCATATCCTAAGATGGGGTTCTTGTTATTACTTGGACGCCTCCTACTCATCCTCCTCCCTCCTCCTCTTTTCTCCTCCCCTCCTGTCGGACTTACTCATACTCACACTTGCTCATACTCAGACTTACTCATACACAGACTTACTCATACTCAGATTTACTCATACTCAGACCTACTCATACTCAGACTTACTCACACTCAGACATACTCATACACAGACTTACTCATACACAGACTTACTCACACCCAGACGTACTCATACACAGCTTACTCATACACAGACTTACTCATACACAGACTTACTCATACTCAGGCATACTCATACTCAGACCTACTCATACTCAGACTTACTCAACACACATCAGATTTGGAGGATGTCTCAGGCGGGGCGCTCGTTTCAGCACCCCTAAGGGGAGCCGCCAGGGGTGATTGCACGGGTTCGTTCGCGGCCATTTTGTGGGGATGTCTCAGGCGGTTTGCCTGTTTCCGGGCTCAACATCCTTCGCTTGGAGAGCAGATTGTGAGGATGTCTCAGGCGGGGCGCTGGTTTCAGCACCCCTAAGGGGAGCCGCCAGGGGTGATTGCACGGGTTCGTTCGCGGCCATGTTGTGGGGATGTCTCAGGCGGTTTGCTTGTTTCTGGGCTCACCATCCTTCGCTTTCGGAGCAGATTTGGAGGATGTCTCGAGCGAGGCGCTCATTTTCACCCCCCAGGTGGGCCAGATGTTGAGGATGTCTCGATCGGTTTGCTTGTTTTGTGGCCAGGCTCGTGGGCGCAGATTCTTCTCAGGATGCCACAGGCCCAAGGAGACCACATGAGGTCCCAGGAGGCATCAGGAGGCCACAGAAAGACTCAAGAGGCCACAGGATGTCCCAAGAGGCTCCAGGAGGCCCCAGGAAGCTCCAGAAGGCCTCAGGAAACCACAGGAGGCCCCAGGAGGCAACAGGAAGCGCCAGGAGGCCTCGGAAGGCAACAGGAGGCCCCGAGAGGCCCCAGGAGCAGGAGGCCTCAGAAGGCAACAGGAGTGGCTCCAATCCCATGTGTTTTACGTATGCTCCTATCGATTGGGCCTCACCTGGAGCACGATTCTTTGATGTTCTACGTATGTTTCTATAGATGGTCCTTCTCCTGTGTACACAATCCTAAATGTTTTACTCATGTTCCTATATATTGGGCCTCTCCTGGGGCACGAGTCCTTGGTGTTTTACGCGTGTTCCTATAGATTGCCCTTCTCCTGTGGCTCTAATCCGCAATGTTTTATGTACGTCTGTTGCTATAGATTGCGCCTCTCCTGGGGCACGAAACCTTCCTAGGAGGTCCCAGGAGGTCCCAAGAGGCTCCTGGAGACCCCAGGAAGCCCCAGTAGGTTTCAGGAGGCCCCAGGAGGCCCCAGGCTCATGCACAGAGACGCGCTCGTACTACTGAGGCTCATTCACACTCCAATTCATTCGCAGTTAGATTGATGTCCAGACCGTCACAACTGAAGCCCGTTAATATTCGAAAGCTCTTGCGCCTAGACATTCACGGCGGACAGGTCCATGCGAGTAGATGCACATATGGGGAGCTCCACGCAGTGAATAATTGTTGCAATTGTTGTTGATGTGGTTGTTGTTGTTGCTGTTGTTGTTGATGTTGCCGTTGTTTGTTGTCGTCGTCCCACCCTCGGCCAACCCGCGACGCACCACGCGACCCACCCCGCGACCCACTCCGCGACCCACCCCGCGACGCACCCCGCGACCCACCCGCGACCCAACCCGCGACCCACCCCGCGACCCACCCAGCGACCCACCCGCGACCCACCCGTGACCCACCCGCGACCTACCACGCCACCCACCCGCGACCCACTCCGCGACCCGTCTGCAATCCACCCGCGACCCACCCGTGACCCACCTGCGACCCACCACACCACCCACTCGGCGACCCACCCGCGACCCACTCCGCGACCCACCCGCGACACACCCCGCGACCCACCCGTGACCCACCGAAACCACCCGCGACCCACCCGCGACCCACCCGCGACCTACCCACATTGGTTTAACGAAAAAATCTGCGCCTGCGGCGGGCTCATTGCATAATGTGTGAAACTTTGGCGCCTGCGGCGGGCTTCTCCAGAGTCTCGCAAACTGCCGACGTCCCCACCGCCCCTTCACTCTCATCAGCATCTGCGGGGTGTTACATAATAAGTGCGCGCGTGCCCCAAAGCACGCCAACGCCCATAAAACGCGGGGCGCAATGCCACATACGGTTTCTCCATGAATGGTCCAATCCTTCAGGCCGAACACAAACCAAAAGAACACATGGCAAATTGACAACTCGTATGCGGTTTCTTGTAACGCACCGCGACTTTGAAAATTGTCAAGCACCGTCACTAGCGCACTGCCTCACCTCATCGTACACGATGTAGTTGACGTTCGCCCACAACGGCACGTGCTTCCTGCAGGACCCCGCTGTTTTTTTCATAAAAAACGACCATACGCGGACCCCACCTCACACGCCCGGCAAAACCGGGGCCCTGGCCGGGTTGCACCGGTGCAACCGCGAGGACTTTAATTTGCACGCGCTGCACGAAGGGGCCGAACGCCACCGCACACACGTCCCGCACGACAGGAAAGGGGGCGAGGAGGGGGAGGGGGATGAGGAGGAGGAGGGAGGACAAGGAAAAGGAAGAAGACGACCGTCGCCAAGTTGCCCACTTGTAAGTTGACTCACCCCCATTCCAATTAATTCCCATACCTCTTTTCCCAACTGATCCCCCGTGTTAGTTCCTCCTCCTGCTTCTGCGATTGCTCCTGCTCCTGCTCTTGCTCCTCCCCCTCCCCCCCCCTGCTCCCCCTCCCCCTCCCCCCCTCCCCCCCCTCCCCCCCCCTCCTCCTCCTCCTCCTCCTCCTCCTCCTCCTCCTCCTCCTCCTCCTCCTCCTCCTCCTCCTCGAACGAAGAGGACCAGCTGCGACAATGGCGGCTTTCCCGCTCGGCCCAAATCCACTCAAGCTCGATCCCCGCACCCCTCCCCCGCGATCCATCCTATCCTTTCCTCGACCCGGATCCAGCCGTGGCGACGAGAAGCCTCCACGAGGCCAACGACCCTCACGATGCTCCCGACCCCTGCGCAACGCGTGGCGAAAATAGCTGCGTAGACTTATGGGGGGTGATAACAAGACAACAAATAGATCTTCTACGAACGACACTTGGGAGGCCCGCGAGCTGCGCGACTCGCAGGACACCAATCGATGGACAAAGGCTCCCTGGAGATGAATATATACTCCCCTGGCTCGAAGGGAACGAAGGGCGAAGACTAAGAGCGGAAGGTGGACGAGCATCTTGAAAAATCTGCAGGGCAGCGGCACGAGGATGTAGGAGGGAAGTGACGACGAGAGAAAGGCAGAGGAAGGAGAGAGACTATGCTTCGAGGCGCACCACCAATCAGTAGTCAGTGCAAAACCTGCGCGAGGCCAATCTGCTCGACCAGCTGCTGGGCCTGTTCACGACATTCTCCAATGCGGAACGTAAAAGACGCAGGCGCACCGCTATGTTCAATCTGCGTCTGCGTGGGGCTTCATTCCGCTGGACCCTCCAGCAGCCCCCGACACTGGCGACAGTTTCGTACATCGCACCCCCCCAGGGATGGCGAGTCCGAACCTGAATCTGCGTAGGACATCACTCCGCTGGAACCCACAGCAGCCTTCGAAAATGATAACATTTTCGCAAATCGCAGCCCCCCAGGGACGGCGAGGTCGAATCTGAATCTGCATAGGACATCACTCCGCTGGACCCCAAGCAACCCCCGACACTGGCGACAGGCTCGCACACCGCAGCCCCCCAGTAATGGCGAGGTCGAATCCGAATCTGCGTAGGACGTCACTCCGCTGGACCCCCCAGCAGCCTTCAAAAGTCGCAACAGCTTCGCACATCGCAGCCCCCCCAGGGATGGCGAGGTCGAATCTGAATATGCGTAGGACGTCACTCCGCTGACCCCCCAGCAGCCCTCGAAAGTGGCGACCGCTTCGTACATCACAGCCCCCCAGGGATGGCGAGGTCGAACCTGAATCAGCGTAGGACGCCACTCCGCTGGGTCCCCGAGCACCCCCCGACACAGGCGACAGGCTCGCACATCGCAGCCCCCCAGGAATGGCGAGGTCGAATCCGAATCTGCGTAGGACGTCACTCCGCTGGACCCCCCAGCAGCGATGGGTCGCGGGTGGGTCGCGGGTTGGGTCGCGTGTGGGTCGCGGGGTGGGTCGCGGGGTGGGTCACTGGTGGGTCGCGGGGTGGGTCGCGGGGTGCGTCGCGGGGTGGGCCGAAGGTGGGACGACGACAACAAACAACAACATCATCATCAACAACAACACCACCACCAACAACAACAACAAAAACAACAACAACTACAACAACTACAACAACAACAACAATAACAACAACAACGACGACAACAACAACACCAGCACCAACACCAACAACGACAACAATATCAACAGCAACAACAACAACTACAAGAACAACAACAACAACAACAACAACAAAAACAACAACAACAACAACAACAACAACAACAACAACAACAACAACAACAACAACAAGCACAACAACAACAACAACAACAACAACAACAACAACCACAACCACAACCACAACGACAACAACAACAACAACAACAACAACAACAACGCAAGGACACTCTCTCAGGCCACCCCGGCGGGGCCCGTGGGTGTGTCCTCGCCCCCGGGGCGAGCGCACTGCCCCAGGCCACACGTTGCAGTTGTTGCCCCGGGGGGGGGGGGGGGAGCAACGCGCAACACCTCTGTCATACGCTAACGAAGATCTATATGTGTTTCCGAATCTCCATTGGCTCCCTTACTGTTCCCCACGCACTCCTGTGGCCGAGAACCGACCACGCGCCAGCGAGGCCAGCTCCTCCTCCTCATAGGACTCCTATGGAATCGCGCAGGGCCCTGTAAGGATCCTATGGGATCCCCATAGGATTCCTATGGAATCGTGCCGGACCCTGTAAGGATCCTATAGGATCCCTCTAGGGTTCCTATGGAATCGTGCAGGACCGTGTAAGGGTCCTATAAGATCCCTCCAGGGTTCCTATGGAATCGTGCAGGACCCTGTAAGGATCCTATGGGATCCCTCTAGGGTTCCTATAGAATCGTGCAGGGCCCTGTAAGGATCCTATAGGATCCCTATAGGGTTCCGATGGTATCGTGCAGGACCCTGTAAGGATCCTACAGGATCCCTCTACGGTTCCTATGGAATCGTGCAAGACCCTGTAAGGATCCTATAGGATCCTTCTAGGGTTCCTATGGAATCGTGCAAGACCCTGTAAGGATCCTATGGGATCCCTCTAGGGTTCCTATGGAATCGCGCAGGACCCTGTAAGGATCCTATAGGTTCCTCCTCTATAGGACTCCTATGGAATCGTGCAGGACCCTGTAAGGTTCCTATAGGACCCCTCTAGGGGTCCTATGGAATCGTGCAGGACCCTGTAAGGATCCTATGGGATCCCTATAGGATTCCTATGGAGCCGTGCAGGACCCTGTAAGGATCCTATAGGATCCCTATAGGTTTCCTATGGAATCGTGCAGGCCCCTGTAAGGATCCTATAGGATTCCTGGAGGGTTCCGATGGAATCCTGCAGGGCCCTGTGAGGATCCTATAGGACCCTTATGAAGGTTCCGATGGAATCCTGTAGGACCCTGTAAGGATCCGATGGGATCCCTATAAGGTTCCTATAGAATCGTGCAGGACCCTGTAAGGATCCTATAGGATCCCTCCAGGGTTCCTATGGAATCGTGCAGGACCCTGTAAGGATCCTAAAGGACCCCATATAGGCTTCCCATAGAATCGTGCAGGACCGGCCCTGCAAGGATCCTATAGGATCCCTCTAGGGTTCCTATGGAAACCTGTTGGACCCTGTAAGGATCCTATAGGATCCCTCCAGGGTTCCTGTGGAATCGCGCAGGACCCTGTAAGGATCCTATAGGATCCCTCTAGGGTTCCGATGGAAACGTGCAGGACTCTGTAAGGATCCTATGGGATCCCTCTGAGGTTCCGATGGAATCGTGCAAGACCCTGTAAGGATCCGATAGGTTCCTCCTTATAGTACTCCGATGGAATCATGCAGGACCTGTAAGGATCCTATAGGATTCCTATCGGATGCCTATGGAATCGTGCAGGGCCCTGCACGGACCCTATAGGATCCCTCTAGGATTCCTATGGAACCGTGCAGGACCCTGTAAGGATCCTATAGGATCCCTCTAGGGTTCCTATAAAATCGTGCAGGACCCTGTAAGGATCCTATAGGATCCCTATAGAGTTCCGATGGAATCCTGCAGGGCCCTGTGAGGATCCTATCGGATCCCCATAGGGTTTCGATGGAATCCTGTAGGACCCTGTGAGGATCCTATAAGACCCCTATAGGATTCTTATAAAATCGTGCAGGACCCTGTACAGATCCTATGGGATCCCTATAGGGTTCTTATGGGATCGTGCAGGACCCTGTTAAGGATCCTGTAGGATCCCTCTAGGGTTCCTATGGAAACCTGTTGGACCCTGTAAGGATCCTATAGGATCCCTCCAGGGTTCCTGTGGAATCGCGCAGGACCCTGTAAGGATCCTATAGGATCCCTCTAGGGTTCCGATGGAGTCGTGCAAGACCCTGTAAGGATCCGATGGGATCCCTATAGGATTCCGATGGAACCGTGCAGGACTCTGTAAGGATCCTATGTGATCCCTATAGGGTGTTCCTATGGAATCGTGCAGGACCCTGTAAGGATCCGATAGGTTCCTCCGTATGAGACTCCCATGGAATCGTGCAGGACCCTGTAAGGATCCTACAGGTTCCCCCTTATAGGACTCCGATGGAGTCGTGCAGGACCCTGTAAGGATCCTATAGGATCCCTATATGATTCCGATGGAACCGTGCAGGACCTTGTAAGGATCCTATAGGCTCCCTCTACGGTTCCGATGGAATCGTGCAGGACCCTGCAGAGGGGTGTGCCAAAATGATCCTCGAGAGGGGTGTGCCATAATGAAGCCTCTGAGGAGCTCTCTGTGGAGCCAAGGCCACGATCCTTGAGAGGGGTGTGCCGAAATAAAGCCTCGGTGGAGCTCCCTGTGGGGCCAGGGCCACGATCCGTGAAAGGGGCGCGCCGAAATCAAACTTCGGTGGAGCTCCCTGTGGGGCCAGGGCCACGATCCTCGAGAGGGGTGTGCCGAAATGGAGCCTCGGTGGAGCCCCCTGTGGGGCCAGGGCCACGATCCGTGAGAGGGGTGCGCCGAAACCAAGCTTCGGTGGAGCTCACTGAGCCACGATCCTCGAGAGGGGTGTGCCCAAATCAAACCTCGGTGGAGCTCCCTGTGGGGCCAGGGCCACGATCCGTGAGAGGGGTGCGCCCTTTGGGGCCTGTATGGGGCTCCGCAGCAGTCCCGAAAGGA